AATAATATGTACCTAGGTACGGAATAAATACAATGAAACAAAAATGTAATTATGTACTGAAAATTGTAATCTAATGATTATAACACGACAAAGAAATATTTATCATGGATTATCACTTACGGATTGAATGTAGATACCTATATACTAAAATAACTACATTCTACATTTTAAAAATGTCCAGAATAATAAGGACCTGGTAGTCTGTTTGACATCTTGAACTATAAAAATAATTTAGACAAAAAACACAGTTTATAATAAAAAAAAAAACGAACCAAATAGAATATAAATTTCCTTTTAAATTATTTTAATATAATATGTAAAACATAATATTCAATCTGTCTTGGGCTACAATCAATAGGATAGTATTTTTGTTTTAATTATTTAATTATGTTGTACTTTTGTAGTATCAAGTTTATCAAGTAAATTAATAGTTGTATACTTGTACAGTTGTACCCATTTAAAAAGCAAACACAAATGACAAATTATATTCCATTTTGTGTTCTGTTTCATTTATCTAGTGGCCATGGTGATATTTATAAAAAGACATTAATTGTTAAATACAAAGACTTTTATAAGCCTGGGTACAAACATGTAATTTAATAAATAATCTGAAAACAATTAAATCATTAGTACCTAAGTAACATTTTATGTAGAACATAATTTTATGCAGTACCTACCTATTTGGAAAAATATATAGTTGTTCATTTATAATCACATAACAATGAATTACAATTAATAGTACGATTTTTAAGATTAAGGTTTTAAACAACTATCTACATAATATTATATTATATGCAAGAAAATGATGTAATTTACCATACTTTATTATGTCACTAATTGGATAGTACATTAATCTATTTATGATAAACTAAGGCATGTACACTCCCGCTGACAGTAAATTGCGGACGGGTTTTATTTATTTTATATTTTTATCTATTTTTTACCTTTTTCATATTCGTCCTTTTAATTTTTAAATCAATGTTATTAGTTATTACCTACTAATCTCGATTAAAAATAAAATTATTTTATTTTATTCCCATACCCAATATTACACATTTCCTGTGAAATATTATTTTGTACTTAGTTTTGACTTTTGTTTTTAAGTCCATTTTCAATTTTCAATTTACAAAATATTTAAAACCTTAAAAATACGCCCACGAAAATTATACGCCCGGGGATAAATCCCCGACTTCCCCCCCTAGATCAGGCCCTGGTTACATAGTTGAAATAGTAGTACCTACAATGATAAGATATATTTTGTAGAAACAAATGAATTGACAGTGATTGTAAAACCGTAATGAATACATAAAACCGTGTTTAGAATAATTAGTTAAAAATGCAATAGTTAAGTTACAATGATGAACGTTCATAACATTATATTTGTTCTATATAAACAATTGAATAGTTAAATCACAATAATACACATTATAATATAATTGCTTACATACAGACATGTAATTATTAAAAAATGCAATACTTAAATTACAATATGTAGGTACGTGACATTATATTTTTTGTTAAATGAACAATTTAGTAGTTAAATTACAAATTATTTGTTATATAAGCAATTCAACAGTTAAATTACAATTATATACATGACATTATACTTTTTTTAAATAAACGATTAATTAGGTAAAAATACAATAGTTAAAATACAACGATGAAGGTACATGACATAATATAATGGTATAAAAATATAGTAGTAAAAATATTCATACAGCAAAGTAATATTATTAAAATTTAAAAAAACCAGTAACTATAATTTGTAAGATAACGTAAGAAAATCGAAAAAAAACATGTTTACCCACGTAAATACATATTATATTATAATACATAAAAAATGATATATTGTAGATTAATTTTAAAAAAATTTAACGTAGTAGAAATATTGTAATTTTTATACACAAAGTAAAGTTAAAATAATAATAATAGTAAAGAGAAAAGATCGGAAATTTGTAAAATTACGGAAAAAAAATGCAAAAAAAGTCGGCATTCGGGCGGCCGTGTAAACCATTTGGCATGAACGGTATGTATGTATGCCCGGACGGCGTACGACGGATTTGAACCCGGGACCTACGTAACTTCTACCTAACGCCTAACCTACTCGGACACAGTTTGAGATGTGAATTACGGTCAAAACATCAACACTTAAGCCGTGCGTCTACGGAGCGACGTAAGCCGATATATTCGATGTTCATCGATGTAATCGCATATAATTCGCTTGTAATACGCGCATCTCCCATATATATATTTAACGGAGCGAGTGAAAAGCATTTTCCGTTAATAATTATTAAATCAATAGGCAAAAATTAAATTATACACGTACATACATGTATATATACGCGTACGGTCGGTCGTAATTTCTAAACGCGATTGCGAAGCGAATTGACCGATTTCGTAAGAAAAGCGTATATATACGGCTTTAGAAAGACGTCAACTACACGATTCGGGCACGAACGACGTGCGAAAAGACGAAACTGTCGGAGAAGACGAAAGAAATCGGCAAAAAAGTCCGGCCGGGAGCGTATTTTGCGATCGACATTGCGACGGCTACGGACGGCGAACGGATATAAACCGCACACCGGCGGCTTCGAGAGATCGCGAGCTACGCGAATCAAATATGAATATGAGCGAAAAAGGCTAGAAAACGGTCGAAATCGTGTAAAAAGTGTAAATTTCGAAAATTTCGAAAATGATAAGAAAAGAAGTGATAACGCGGTTATTGCCCGCCGCAGAATCTGAACGTTGCGATTGGCCGGGCCGGAAAAACGACACAAAAGTCGTCTATCCCCGTGGACAAAACTGGGGACTAACCTCGTTTTATAATATAAGAGACTAATAGATAGACTAATTTTCCGTCTATTAGCGTCTTCGTAGTTCGTAACAGTGTCGTACTAACTACAATTATGTCATCAAACAACTCTTATCAGTTATCAATCTCAATTAGTCCTCAACCGTTACCCACTGCTTAACCGATTTATACGACTATAATACCATTAACCATTTATAACTAATTGAATGTTCCACGGAAAGAAAAATCTATTTTCGTAATTTTTACAAGAAATACCTTCATTCATCTTTATTACCACAACAATATCTTTATATTATGTTATAATAAAATAAATACCAAAAACACAGGCATCAGATGGTGCCCCCTAAAATGTCAGCTGCTCTGGTGCCCTGGTGTAAGTACCACCCAACACCCCCGCTTGTTGCGCCACTGCTATTACATGTTTTTGTGTGTCGCGTTTGGTATAGACTAGGTAATAGAAAACGGGTATAACGCGATAGGATTTGAAACAGCGTAATAGGATATTAGGATCTGCATATTATGCATTTGTAATTATTATAATTCATAAATTATAACAATTTGATGACTTTAACATCAATTTTAATGATAAGAAATCGGAAACTTTTAAAACTTTCCTTATGCCATATGGGCACATTCAATTTACACAATATGACAGTGGCGGCGCCAGGGTGAAGCCAGCTGCAAAAACAAGAACAAATTAGTAATTCTTAAAGGATAAAAATAATTAACATTCATTTTTCATAATTTCATACAATAATAAAATAACTTTTATTGACTATAATAGTTGTGTATAATCAAAAGAATAACATGACACATAACAGATTCTGTTTCTGGTAAAAATCCACCTTTTTCTATATATTCAGGAGGTGAAACGATGTAACAGCAATACAGTCCTACTGGATAGTACTACCCATGCCGTTACCTTCTAAAAGCATTTCACTCTTATAACTATGAGAAATATTTTTCATTTTTTTAAGATTATATACAACAATTAATTCCTTGAAGTAAAATACATTTTTTTATATTAATAAAAATAGTGAACCTTCATGTTTTAGTTAGAAACAAACAAGTTTAGCATATAAATTAAATAAAAACATATAGGAATTTCATTGAAGAATAAAGTATTTTGTAAATGATTAAATATCCGATTACCTAACTGTTTTATTTGAGTTTAAGCAAACAAAAACAAGCAAGTGAAAAAATCATAGTTATTAACCTGGCCATTGTACAGTTGGGTATAATACTGCTGTTATCATATTTAAATGGGTGGCTGGCGTGCAGCTCATGTATGAGGAATAACGTTATGTTTTTGCTTTAGTATTTGATCTACGCGTAGTATATTAGAAAATCAAAAAATTAATTAATGTACTTTTTTTCCATAGTATAACTAAAAATATATTATCACATCAATAAATAAATAAATTTTATTTTACCCATACTATAATATTAAAAGTATATAAAAATTAACAATTTTATCTTTATACCTACTCTAAGCAACTTTATAGAAGGAAAATACCATATACAATCACCAATCTTACCTATATATACTATAGTATACATAGGTATATTTAATTTTTTTTCTGGTCTAATATGCGGTCTATGTATATGATTGTACACCGCATACATTTTTAGTCAGCATATAAAAGCAGCACCTTGGTCCTTTAAACGTATATTATCAAAGTGGGAGTTCAAAGTTATTCACATTATAAAAATTTATCTTAGTAAAAATTAAAAAAATACAACATTTGGTATCAATATAAGAGTATTAGAGTACCTACCTATTTAATTTACTTCTCTTGTCAGTTGAATTTAAACTTAAAAAACAAAGACTATATCATAAATAACCTGTACTACCAATCATTAATAATTCATTATAAACTTACATTTTAAAAAAATGTATCATGTTGAATTAAAACATGAAAATAAAAATAACTATCTTAAACTATTGCACTATATAGTGTATTGGATATTGTAGGTAATGGCTAGAAAAAAAAACAATGAATAAAATCAAAGCAGTTTATTTATGCTAATTTTTTACTTGTCATTATGAAAAAATAAAATTTAGATCTTTGATAATTTACTAACACGGCAAAATTTATGCGTATGAAAAAAAAAATGTATGCATTTAAAAAAAAGTTCATTAAGTACATGAGCTGTTTAAAAGAAAATATTTTTTAGGCTTTAAGCCTTACGGTGTAGGTACAATTAATGCTGCGACACAGCTTGCTTCACAAATCCCAAATGCTGCATTGCATGCTGCTAACGCGGGTGTAGCAGCAATCACCGCTCCAGGGACGGTGCCAAACGTAAACCCGGCGGCAGCGAAGCATGCAACCGTCACGGCAGCACATCCAGCATAGCAAATTCCAGCAGCGATGGGTCCAGCATTGGCGGAAGATGCGATTAACAGCCCGGCCAACATCAACGCCCAAATTTTCTGTGCAACCATGATGACTGAAAAAAAAAACAAAAAAAATATTATGAAATTGTAATGCTTTTGTCACTATAGGCACTAGTCAGATTTCAGTACAAGCAGAAGATTGGAGCAATGGAGCGGCAAATTTGGCACACGTAAAAAAATTGATTATTTTCATTGTTGAAATTTTGAGTACCGTGATCAACAACTGGGAATTTGCTGTTATTTTTATTTTTAGAAAAATTTGTATTTTTTCTCCGAATTTTTTTTATGACATTAAATCATTTTTAAAGCTAAACATTTTTTGGCATCAAGTCAGTTTAGCTCCAGGCTCTAAGCGTTTTTTTTTTAAAGTTTGCGATTTAGCGTAGGTATAACCTGTCCTCCATTTTTTTTTTTTAAATTTATTTTATTAACAATAAGTTAAAAATTAAGTAGGTACGTAGGTAATTTTTTTCTTATTCACATAAAATTACAAAACAACCCCCCCACATTTAACAAGAACTTTTTTTTTTTTTTTTTATTGAACAAAAAAAAAATGTTATTTACAATCTATAATTACATGTATTACAATAAGTAAATGGGATGGGGATGATTAGCGGGAGGGGGAAGTCACCCAGCGGCGGCACCCCGTGGAACAAGAACTTATACTCTAATACCAAAGATATTGTTTTGCTTCCTTATTAAAATTATTCACTGTTACCCATACTACTATACTACCCCCCTATTTTTGTTTTATTTATTTGTTATACATTAATTAAATGTATTGTATGTTACCATATTATAATTAGTCTAATGCATGTAACTATAAACCATACGCTCAATAAATAAGATTCTAGCAAAATATTGAGAAAGAACAAACTCCCAATAACAAAAAACAATAGTTATTTTTTGATAATTTAAACATAAAAAAACGATTTTTAAGTTTTGAGACCACAACTGTCAACTCACAAATAAAATTGAACAACTTTTTTTTTTTTGAAAATACAATTATATTAAGCATGCAAAGCACACATAATGAAAAAAGTCACTTTGGAGCTAAACTGCATTCATTTCCATTTTTTTTTCGTGATTTTATTATGGTGTAAGAAAAACTTGTTTTGGGTTTTTAAAAGTTATTACCACAGATTATAAATAAAGATACCTAAATATTATAATGTGTTATTACTAACTATCAAAAGGTTAAGGAGCAGAACAACGGACGACAAACTAGGCAATTAGCGACAGCGGTCGACAGTAAAATGGCTTAGGCTCTCTGAGTAGTTGGCTTGTCGTTGGATGACTTCAGCCTTCAGGCTTCAGCTACAGCGGCAGTCTGAAAGATAATATTATAATAAAAGGTCATTGTTGTTGTTGATTTTATTTAATAGTAATAGTAGTAGTATTGTTTTCGCTCATGGAGTATAAACGGTAACATACAAAAGAAACGAAATATAAATTGTCGATCGGTGCGTATCGCCGTTTCAGAACTCAATGTGAACCGAATTATGATTTATGAATAATTAATAAAATCATGAGTTGTTCCAAAGTTAATTTATTTAAAATCAATCAGAGCTGTTATGAAACTAATAAGAACATTATCTATGTTTTGATGGAAGTATTTTTACGATAATTCGGTTTTAAGTGAGCATTTTTAATTTACATTTATTATACAGGCATGACTCACTTGAAAACCGAATTATCTTAAAAACTTCGATTAAACCCCAGACAATGGTCAATGTTCTTACCATCGAGTTTTACACAAATTGTTAAGCTTACGGCATAAAACGTGAACTGCTGAGCGTGAATTTGGTAAGTTACGAGTTTGTAAGACGGAGACGCGGGTGTGGTGTCCTCTTAAAACCGACGCGCCGATTGTACAAGACATAGTATAAGGAATAAGAAGTATACTCAACGATAAGACTGCGCATATTTTTTTAAGGGGCAATGTATAATTTATAACCAACAATAAACACAAGGCGACGTCACGACGAGTATACATTTAATATTTTGCAATGCAGTATAACGAAAACACGGTTCGAGTTGATCATAGTTTTTAAATACTATGGTATACGACGCACCGATTTTCCTTTGACGCGGGACCGACAATTATTATTGTTGTCGAGAAGAGACGCGCGGGCGATGCGCATACAAACTTTGCCGCGCAACACCAATCGGATTTCGGATGGCGCGTGAACAACAACTGTACCGCTCCACACGCGTCGCTTGGTGATCCCGGCTAGCAGGCACTAATTTAGATTTATCAAATAATAATATTATTATTAGTTGGTATTCCTTGTATTATATAGAAAGTCTACGATGGAATTCGGGCCATTCGGGGTATTCCCCATATAAATGAAAATAAAGATATTCCAATAATATCCTTTTGCAATATTGTACCCATGTTATTCTCAGAACGAAAACCATAAGCGTACACACTTGTGACATTTTCTATTACGCCGTTCCACCAATTGTCGGTAAACTTGGCCGCATCAAAGGATGTTACGCGCAAATGTTACAAGTGTGTACGCTGCTTTATACGCGACGTTACACTCACATGGACAAGCGTATTTATGTAATATTATACAACCCATGATACTATATGTACCGCGTGTCCACGAAAGTTGGGTACCTACACTCGGTTACCTAAATTAGTATATAAATCCGAGCATGAACTATGATTAATAGGAATCCGAGTGTTGACTAAAGCGTTAGGTTAAGTTCCATGTTAATTTTTACGCAATTGAAAATAATACAAATACTACCGTAGACCTGCTTAGGATATTATTAGCTATAGATTAAACTACGTGTATGATAAAAACTTTTTAAATTTGTATTAAATGTGTGTTTACGTAATATTAAAACTTGAAATTATTAACATTTACAAATTACGCAGTAAGTTCAAATATTGAATTGTAGGTTAGGTTAGGTCTGTATGGAAAACAAGTCTGTGGATTTAAAATTTGTCAATCACATTTTTATCTTAGTTTATACTATAAAAAATACTTATATAGTAACTACGATTGCGAGAATACAATTTTGTCTTATGATTTCGAGGGACTGAAACCACATGGCGGTTTTGTTAAAAATTTAGTTCAAGCTCTGTTTAAATTAAAGTTAACAAAAAAAAAATATCTCAATATTAACCAATTTTGAATCCACAGGAAAATATGTATAATACAATATAATGAATTACAGTTTTAGTGGAAAAAACATACTCACCAGTTCGATTTCGGACGGCTCGAGGAACGATCGACAAAAAGACACTAAGATGGTGGACGAATGAAGGAAATCGTAGTTCGACTTCGGACAACGAAATACCCGTTTACCGACGGTGGTAGGGGGTTGACCATAGACCTCACGGGCCACGGCGTTTTTCTATTGGTCGACGGTCGTCGCAAACGCATTCTAGAAGTCCGAACCGAGAGTCGACACCGGGTTTTGACGTTTTCAACTGTCGTACGATTTATCCAATTCGCTAATGTACTAACGTCGTGATATTCTGTATTATTACGCATTACTATTTAATATAGTAGTGATAACTGATAAGTCATAAGTCACATGATACTCGCAGTTCGTAGGTCATGATATCATCGTTATTTGGTTAATAAGTAATTATAGCAATGGAGTATTTGAGTAATGACTAATGTGTAATTTCTGTAGTCTGTAATAATTAATCAATGGTAATATTAATATATTTGTACCCATTTTACCAATTTGTGTTTTTGAAACGAAGTTTTTATGGCACGATGCGGGGCTAGTCAGGAAAAAACGTTCCTGACGAAATACCATTTTTTATAATATATTATATTAAACAGATACTGAAATCTATACCATTGTCTTTACAAAACATAAACTTTTGGTTGCGTCTTATATACATATTATAATCTCCTTGCATGACGCGTAAGAATTTTTATTTCATGAAATTGTTTTCGTAGAATAATTCGATTGTTGCATATAGGTATCCTTATAATATTATAGTGCTTTTCCTCTGCAATTACATGTTTTTGTGTGTCGCTTTTGGTATAGACTAGGTAATAGAAAACGGGTACAACGCGATAGGATTTGAAACAGCGTAATAAGATCTGCATATTATGCATTTATAAATATTATAATTCATAAATTATAACAATTTGATGACTTTAACATCAATTTTAATGATAAGAAATCGGAAACTTTTAAAACTTTCCTTACGGACACATTCAATTCACATAATATGATAAACAATCCAGTAGAATCTACAAGACTACAACCGGAGATGACACCACTATCGATGCAGTATTTTCAAGATATTTGGAAAAAACTACATCACAACCATACGTGTCATATTTCAGTTATCACAGGCCTGTAATTTCGATTATTGAATATGATTAATATAATAGTAATTAAATAGTAGGTAATAATATTAATTTTCATTTTCATTTATTTTTCACATTCAGGTACTTTTATTTTGAATGGTTCCACTAAAATGTATTTGTAATCTATAATATTTGTTGGAAAAGAAACTTCGTTTCTACCGGGTTTTCCATGACAGCACTCACTTTTTTCATATTATATTATTATCTGTGTTTGTACGTACTACGTTGAATGTTTTACGATAGGAACTTCAATATCTATGCAAATTAGAAGTTATTACTTATTAGCACGATTTAAGATAGTTAGGTATTAGTTTATTATATAAGTAGGTATTGTATTGTGTATATATAGACTTATAGTGTATACTGTATACTGCAAGGGTGGCTAACTTTAATAGACTTGGGATAGAGCACTGAATTTTTCTAGGTTGTCTCGATCAACCAAAAAAAAAAAGGTCAAAAACAAAAATATATTATATGTACATGCTTCTTACACTTCTTTTATTACTTTTATTTAGAATATAAATACGTATTATTAATGTTTGATTTTATAGTTTCACACAACACGTATTTTAATATAGGTATTTAATTACAAATTATTACTTTTAACTTAATACTACTATAACTATATACTAGTTACCACTACTCAGAAAATGTGAAAGAGTGTCGCAATCAACTTGTTGGCCCACCCCTGGTATA